TGGATGTATGTTTAGTGTTTATAATTCATGTATCACTTATGTCAGTGAGGGTTTAGCATACTGGTCTTGCTCTTTATATTTAGTAGCCCATCCACAGTTATCTTGCTACTGTAGGTAATAGCTAGGCAAGCACTTTACTGAAACATACACTGTCAACAGGATTGTGTGAGCTGATTCACAAACAGTCCTGCCTAGCAGGTGAAGGCAGAGGAGGCAGCAGGGGATGACCATTTGATCTCTATTGATATCCATTTAATCTCCATATTCCCCCAGGTCTTGTCCCTGTGTAGTTGGTTAGCAATTCAGTGGGCCTTATTTAATATGATCTCCTATAAGGCAAATACTGCTACTTCCCATTGGCATTCTGGCTATAAAGTAGCAACAAGCTTTCCTCTTAAGACGATCTTTTTACTAGAGTCAAGTCATTTAGCAAGGAGCATCGCTGGTCCCGGCTTCCACTGGTGTTGTGCTAATGACACCAGTGGTTTCCAGCTGCATATCAAACAAATACCCTCCTTCTTAATATATGAGGGAGTGTTTCTCCTTTTACAATCTAGTACAGAACAGCCCAGCTAGGTTCTTGCTATTACTTTTAAATTACAAAGAATAAAGGCAGTTTCTGTATAGGGGTGTGGAGAGAAGCCAGGAAAGCATGAACTCCTTTCAATGTAACTGCTGGAAACCACATTTCCCTCCCTCTTGAGAAGCTCACCTCTTCCTGCCTTTATCAGGGAAGTGTCAGATCTCACACCTCTACAGCAAGGTACAGAAATGCAAATTTTTTGAAAGCCTGTAACACCTAATCAGAGGATGTAAACTTTCTGTGAACCTAATTTGTGGATTAAAAACTCAAACCCCCAAACCCTAAGCTTGTTCAATTGTTTGTTGTCACTTGAATTGTACATTATAGATTAGCCAGTTAAAAAATATACAAATATAGAAAAAACCTAAAAATGGTCCATTTCCTACTCTTTTAAGACAAAAAAAAGTCAGCTTGTTTGGCCTCCTGTTCATAGCCCCCATCCCCAGTATGTCTAAAGTAGATAAAAAATACATCATGGAATTATATAATTCAGAATAGTAGATCCTGAAAAATCTTTTAGTGTCACAGTTGTGTTTTCCAGCATTAACCTGACAGCCCTTCTGTTTAATATTGATTCCAAGCTAGGCTACAATCCTTGTTTTATGTATCTAGTAGCAGCTGTGGAGTCATTTTGCTAAATGAAACTAAAAACATGAAGTCCTCCATTCCCCATTTCTGATTGGAAATAACCATTCATCAGCACCACTGCTAGACAAGTTACTTCATTTACTTCAGCAACCCTGGCAAAATTTACAATCCTACCTTTTTCATACAGCAGTTAAGACACAGAATATTTGCTCTAAAATCACTGCAGGCTCTCAGCTTCAAATGAGCACTCAGAGAGTGGACGTGCTCCCTGGCTCTATCAAGATATGCTGGTCATTGTCCCAGCATGGTATTTATGCAAACAAGTTTTTCCTGGCCGCTACCATCCTGTAGAGAGAAACCTACCAGTCTTATTTGGACAGCTTTACCTTATCCCCAAATAGTTAGCTTTTCACTCCACAAATTCCTGTTTATCATAACAACTGTATATACCAGTATATACCATCTTGCTATCCTCCAAATGGTTGGAACTATGATTAAATGTATTCCTGACCATTGGCCATGTTGACTGAGGCTGATGGGAACTGAAGGGCCTCGACTGAGGAAGACACACATCATTCCTTCACAAGATTTTAGAGCATCTTCACAACTGAGCAAACACCATCATACCTACACACTTCACAGCAGAGTCTTTCCATGTGGAAAAATATGTTTATGTTAGCAAGGACAAACAGAAGAGCATCACAGATGCAGCTCATTTTGCTTAGTTGCCGCCTAGGGCTGCCACCCTTTTGTTTGGAAGACATGCTTTGTGTTCATCTGCTGAACAGGGAACAACAGAATAAGTGAGCCTTTCCTCATCATTCATGCTGGAAAACATTTCACCAGCAGAAGGTGGCGAGCCACTATGAAAGATATAGAACATTATCCATCCCTATTGCCCAAGTGGTCCTGTTGTGGGTTGCACGATGGCTGTCTGTGATATGCTTTTCCTCCAAGTGCAGAAAACAGAAGCCACATATAAGTTATCTACACATGTTTCGCTCAGTTATCTAAAATCAGGGTAAAGGATTTTTTTCTGGAAACCTACCAGATGCTTCCTTCATAAAGGACTTTAGAATATGATGTGCTGCCTTTTCTCCTTTTCCAAGGAACCCAAGACAATTTACATACTCTACCTCTCCATTGTATCCTCACCTCTCCATTCTTTCTCAAAACCACTCTCTCAGTTAGGCTAGTCCAAATGTCACCCCATGAGCTTTGTGACTGAGCGGGGACTAGAGCACAGGTCTCCTGAGTCCCCGCCTAGTACCCTAACCACTATACCACACCAGTTCTTGGAGCAATTCTACACAATGCACATCATGAGCTGGTAGACTTATGGAGTGTACCACTTCAGATTGGGGCTGTGTGTCTTTCTTAAGGTTCTCCCCAAGTTAAAAGTGTTGCATATAGCAAACCAAGGAGAATGCTGAAATCTCCCTAGTTTACTATATTAAGAAAGTTTCTAATATATAATAAATACATACACACAAGCAAACATTCTAAAAGATTACAGACCACAACATTGCCACCATCACCCCTGTACAGTGTTTTGAAAAAGGCGCTTGGAAGTGCCTGAATCAGACCAGGCAGATACAAATCTGCCAAAAATTCTTGATTTTTAGAAAAGAAGAAATGAACTATGCAGATGAACAGCACAGCTGCGTTACTGAAGATTATGTTCCTCTGAAGAGGAGGAGGAGCTCCCTCTCACCTATGAAACCTTAAAAGACAAATAGACCATGCTACCCAAATGATTATTAAATGTCATATTATATTGTATTGAGGACTGACAATCAGGATAACCGTGAAAAAGGTTGGTCAGGAGTTGGACAGCCAGAACTCAGAGGGATGCAAGGAACAGTCAAGAAGACAAGGCTTGGATCATCTATGGGGTGAGAATGTATAACATTTACTGTGGGAGACAAGAGCAGGGTTAGGTACTGTCCACTGGCTAGAGTAGCCTGGAGGGGAGTCCAGAGAGCCTAATTTGAGGAGCAGCAGATGATGCGATGCACCTGCTAATTTTCCTCACAGCTGTGGTCCCTTCACACACAGATGACACAGGCGAAGTGGCTCATGGATGCAAAAGGAAGGCATACATTAGGAATGAGCTGAAATCCTCTGCAGAAGGCTACACTGAGAAAGCTGGAAACAAGAGAAAGCTGGAAACAAGGCTACCGTTTATCAGGACATCCATTAGTGCATAATGTACTCCTACTGTCTTACTAAACACCAACTCATGCCTCCATTTCACATACACACTTCTTAAACTTAATAACATTCTTGTACCACCCCGTCTTAGAAGCCTTATTATATACACCTACCTGTATCCTATACTCATCTTCTTCCCTCTCCATCTCTAGGTGAAGGAAACTGAATTCTGAAAACTAGTTCCTAGATTTCTTTCAGTTGTAGCAATGGAGCCACAAAGTGTTTATCAGTATCACCTCTACCTTGTATATTTAGTGGTATATAACCACCAAAGCACACAAAGTTGTTAATACTAACAAAGTTCCATTCCCAGTCTGATAAGCAATAGTCTCATGGGAGTATAGACAATGGTTGGACCCCAATCTCAGATGCTATAGAGGAGAAAACTCTAACCACCAGACCTCTATAACTAGGTTCAGAAAACAGAATAACTCACCTTCAAAGTGGGTTGTTCCTGAACCACACTTTTTGTGGAAATGTGAGTTACTGAGTTTTCTAAACCTGGCCAAGGTAACAAACCATGATGATCAACTCACAGTTCATACTCCAATAACAAATCAAGGTTCTCTTCATGGCTTGTTCAGATTGAAGCCAGGGCCTGTCAGAGCAGTTGGGTTCTCACAACACAATAACCCACAGTTCAACAACCCACTGTTCAATGACAGCCCAGAGTCAAGCCTTGAGTGTAGGTTATGTTGTCTGAATCCAGTCTATGTATCTCTATGATTCTGCAATATGAAACACCCAAATTTTCTATACATCTTATATAGTATTATATTTGCTAAAATATATACCTTTTGTTGGAAGAAGGAAAATGGGCACACCTATCAAAATATTATCAGTGTCATATTTAAAGCTTCAAGCTGGAGAATATCTATTTTCACAACTGAATCAGAATGTGTAGCGTAAGACAATTCTTGACTGACCTTTTAGGCACTTTTGGGGGGGGGGTATCTATTTGCTCTGGATAAAAAAACAAAACTTTGAAGTTACTTCTTGGGTAGAAAACAGGACTCACCCAATCCTGCTCTATTCTTCCAGCTGAGAGTACTAATGAGGGATACACCTACCATACCTTTGCTTGTTTTAGGGTATAAACCCCCACATGCTTGGACAGAAAGATGGACTACAACTCCCAGCCTTCTCCAACCAGCATGGCTTGCATCATTACTCATTCAAGCACTGTTTTAGATAAATACACTTGCATTCCACTCAAGGGTACTGATTTAAGAAGCAATTTTACTTCAGTGGGACTTACTCCTGCCGGTATGATTACAGGCCATTTCCCTTACTCCATTCACTCTTTCTAAGGGTGTTATTTCCACTTGAACTGTCCATGCTATTACTTCGTTTACACATCAAAACACTCCCCCATCTACTCTAAAAGCAGAAAGGTCTTTACAAGGCAACTTGTAGTAAAGAGGGGAAGGAAAGTGGAGAGGGGGAGGGGGGGCTTTCCCTCTAGTTCAAAGGTAGGTGAGAATTTATAGCACAGTCAGAGAGAAACAACTCTTGTGACAGGCTTTGAATTAAGAATCTCCGCATCAGATGGCTTAAAGGGTAGTTACAAAGCACACGTCTACCAATAAACTTTGTTTCCACTTTTATTATTCCACATGGTTAACAAAAAGGAAGATTACATAGCTAGCCCCCTATCTTACTTTCACCCCTCCCTTTTTGTTATGTTGGGATGCTTTCATGTGTTAAGTAAGTTTACAGCATAGGTCTATGTTACAATGACAGCTCTGTGGAAAGGTAACAGCACAAATAACTCACACATCTCCCTCCCCCCACCCCCACCCCAAAAACGAAGACGTCTTTTGTATGGAGAAAGGCAGAGGTTGCAGCAGATCACAGAAGAGCTTCCAAGCTTTCCGATCCCTTGCATGTTATTTAATGTGTTCTATGCAACCAGGAAAGTGTTCCCCTTATTTAAATCCTCATTAAGACATTGGTTACTTTTAAGGCTGCATTCTCTGCATTTACTTAAGAGTAAATCCCACTCAACTCAGGAAGACTTGACTCCAAGCAAACGTACACAGGATCAGCCTGCACAATTGCAGAGTGTGCGTTGTCCTTGTTGCTTTAAAGCCTTCATCATGGCAAGTTAAGTATCAACTTCTAAAATCTGGAAGTTGTAAAATCAAACCCATGAATTTAGTGTACCAAAACCAAGACTAGCCCAAGAATCTTGAAAATATGGAAACATTCCAGCTCCCAGTACTTGAACAGACAAGTTCAGTACATGAATTAAGTGCTTAATTACCAATGTTTGCATTCAAGGATGCATTTTTGTTAGTCACTAACATGAAATGTAATTTCTTAAGCAAGTGTCACACCCCAAAATACATGCAATCATTGGTGAATTTAGTTTTTATTTTTAAAAAAGATTAAAATAAACATTTGACAAGCTAATATACACAGCACAATAAATTCAGATGTGCTAGAAGATGTGCACAAGACACGTTTCTAAAAGGCACCCTGCCACCAATACTTTAAATGCTCACCTAATTCCAGTGGGGCTTCTAGTTTTCTCTTCCTTCACTGAAGGAGAGATCCTAGTCCACTAAACTTAACAAGAGACTAGCCTCGCCAATCCCTTTCAGGGATTTTTTAATGCTATCGCTAAAACATTTGAAGTTGTGCATAAATGCTTAACTTCATACCGTTCATTGGATTAAACCATCAAGTTCTCAAATTCAAAAGGGCTTTTTCCTAACTGAAAAAGGTAGCAATATCTGGGCCACTTATAAGGGCCAAAAATGAAGGAAATGAACAGTGCTGTGCATCAACAAAAGAGCTCTGCTTGTACACACTTCCATCCTTTCTACCCCCAAACCCCTAATAAAAAGAAACCAGGACTTACGAAAACCCATCTCTCAAATCCACAGATGAAATGTTAACTCATTCAGCTATTTAGCCTGTCAGGATTTGACAGTGTCAGAGTGCCATCTATACAGTCCTGAAATACAGTTAATATCACGACACAAATGCACCATCTGAAATCCTCACCGTCTATACTCCAATGGCTAGAAGAACACAGTGCTCAAGTATTCTCCCTATTAGGTAGATCTTCGTTGGTTCCTGTGCAGTTTATTACCAGGGTCTCCACATAGATTTGGAAAGGCTGGAGGAAGGCACATTTTCTGTCCTAGACCTGTCCAGTCCATCCAAAGAGATGTGGCTTTGCTCAGCCTCCGTGTCTTCCAGATCAGAGCAAGTCTCTTCACTGGAGGAAGGTGAAGGAAGAGGTGAAGCGGGGATGGGCAGGCATAAAGCTCCAGGTGATAGCCCAGGCGTTTGGGGGAGCCCATCACTGCTAGGCCACTGGCTGATGGAGGGGTCTGATAAGACATCCACAATCAGGTCCTGGAAGCTGCCGTCATTCAGTGGCATTGACTCCAGAAGGTGATTCAAGAGCTCTGCAGCAATAGTAGAGTCAATTCCAGGGCAGTTGGAGACGAACGTATGAACTTCGTGCATACACTGAATGTACCCAGCCGCAAAGCGTTCACTGGCCTCTCGCTGCAGTTTGTCACCATCTGGGACCACACAAGCAAACAAGGAAACAGAGCAAGAATCACAAAACATCCTCTTCTGCTGTTCCTCATCAATATTGTGCATACATGTCTCTATTCTTTCATCCTCCAAGACTGGATTAATGTTAAACTAGTACTTTGCAGCAATCATACCTCTCAACTCCAAACTTTAAAATGAGGTCCAGAAACCTCTGAGGGGCAAGCAGGGGATATACCTCAAAACCTGCTGGAAAAACAACTGTTATTTCTTATTCTCAGGAGATGCCGCAACAAAATCTGTGTTGCTTCTGAAAGAAGGGTTGATAGGTCTCCTAAGTCAGGCTTTGTTAATCTAGAGTCAAATGTTTTCTAGAAGACTCTCAAGAGGCTTCACTGTTAGATTAAAGTGAGGATATGATCTCAACTGAGCTGCGTTCATGCAGTCAGCTGTGAGCCAGGGAAAAGGTAGCTGATACACTTGATCAAAGCACAGCTCAGTCTAGGTATTGTTATCCAAACAAAACAGAGGCCATCACACCAATTACAGACACACATCACAAACAATACCAGCAGCCATCAGGAAAAGGAGCTGGGAAGAAAAGGAACACCAAGGGAAACTAGAGCAGTGAGGGATGCTAACTTTTGTTTCAAGCCAAGGATGCTTGAAGTGTGTTTAAAACAGCAGTGACTTTGCATAAGATGTAAAGAGAAAGGGAAGAGAAAAAAGGATACAGCCCTCACTTAAGTGAGGACAAAAACTAGGTAGCAAAAGAGAGAGAGAGAGAGAGAGAATTTGAGAATCATAATTTACTCCAAAAAGGCAGTGAAAATGATACAGGGCTTAAGTGCTTTTCTGGTAAAATTAGCCTCAGCATAAACTAGTACTGCTTATGAACACAAAATGATAGTATTGGGCTCATAGTAACTGCCAAGACAATCTGTATTTCTAGGATGTTTAAAAAAAAAACCCCCCAATCCCAGCAGCCGCTCCTACTGTTTGTTCAGTTCTCAGCCCAGGGTTCCTGGCCTGCCAAACCCTCGGTTCAACGGATGCCCTTCTTGCCCCCACAAGAAGTGGCCCCAGCCTTCGTCCAGGGGGCAGGGTGCCAGGGGCGAGGACCTGCGCGGCGGCCACTCACTCACTCACCTAGAGAGCTGCTTTGCAGAATGCCTTGCACGCGCCTGACCGTCAGCTCCAGCACCTCGGCGTTCTCCATCTTCGTCTGGAACTAGCACCGATCAAACGACACAGCAGACAGCGAGATCGTCAAGCCTGGCCGCAGCCGCTCTCACGCCGTCCCGCCCCCGCGCCCGCGCCCCCGCGCCGCGAAGAGCCTTCGCTGCCAACTTACCTCCGTGTCCGCCAAGATCAGCCGCAGCTCCTGCAGGCTCTCGTTGATCCGCGCCCGCCGCTTCTTCTCCACCAGCGGCTTTCTCGCCTGGCAAGGAAGGTTGGAGGAGCGCGAGCGGGAGAAAGAAGGAAAGGACGTAGTGAGCAAGGCATGCGTGTATGCATGCCTGTATGGATGCATGGGCGCGTACACGCATGCAGGCACGCCATCACGCGTGCATTCGGCGCCGCAGAGGCCTCCCTTCAGCCTCCCCGCCCTGAGCTGCTCCCGATGCATTGCTCCAAGAAGACCACTCACCTTCCGGTCTCCTCTAGCCTCGAAGAAATCCTCGTCGTCCCGGCTGGACCGGTTCTTGCTGGGCCGAAAGGAGGGAGCCATGATCGGAGGGAGGAGGGCAATGCCGAAAACGTAGGAATAAGAAGGGGTCCGGAAAGTCGAACGGGATAGGCGGGGAGGAGGTGGAAAAGGAGGCGGAGGCGCCGCGGCGGGGAACTAGTGCAAAAAAAAAAAAAAAAAGAGGGCTGGCTCGATGCTGCGCCGCCCGGCGCGGACTCCGGCCCACTCCCCCGCCCCCTCCTCGAGCCACCGCCCCAGCCTTCTTTATAGCCTCAGATTTGCATGTCAATGAGCCGATTGGACGCGGTTCGCCGAGAGGAAGCCCGAGCGTTGGCCGAGGCCACCAATGGGAGGCTGGCGCTTTGTCTCTCCGGGCGCGCTCGGAGCCGCTTTCCTGGACGGGGCCGCGGGCGCGGGCGCAGCAGCAGCCGCCACGAAACGGGGATGCGGGGATTCGCGCCAGTGGGCGGGGACCGGCGCAAAGGAGCGCTGTAATGATCGGGATTGACACTGCTTTCCGCTCCACACCGTTATGATGATTAACATTAATACTGCGATAGGAATGTATTGCCGTGATTCGTAATCATGGTGATCGAGGGCTGGCTTCGCGTTTGCTGGGTTCTCAAATGTACAGTCCTGTCGATAATAGGAAGAGGAGTCGTTAGTAAGGTTTGTGCGGAGAGTGCAGTGGGAGTGGAAAACCTGAGCACCAGCAGTTCTAGTCAGGCGCTCTTGAGCTCAGTGCTCCCTAGACTGTAGTAGTTGATCCAAGTTTTGGCACGACTTGCTTATTTTGAAGAACAGCAACAGGCAATTAAACTTTCCAGGTCTCAAAGTTTTTGGGTGCCTAGTCCCAACACACTCTGAGTCTTGGAAGGTTTGTGGATATAACAGAAAAAACTAGATTGTCAAATGACAGTAGGGTCAACGTCCAGGTAAATGTGCCCTGCCTAGTATTTTCTGAGTCATATTTTTGCTGTCAGGTCTTGTTTGTTTTATATACACATAGTGCCTCTCTGCATCTACCCTTGAAAAAGTTTTGTCAACATTAATGACAAATATTTGACTATGTT